TGGTCAGTGGGTGTGGTCAGTGGGTGTGGTCAGTGGGTGTGGTAAGTGGGTGTGGTCAGTGGGTGTGGTCAGTGGGTGTGGTCAGTGGTCAGTTGGGTGTGGTCAGTTGGGTGTGATCAGTGGTCAGTTGGGTGTGGTCATTTGGAATGTGGGGGAGGGGCTAATCCTGGGTGTGGTCACCGTGTGGGCGTGGCCAAGGGGGGATGGGGAGGGTCATCGGTGACCTTTGACCCCTGGGGGTGGCCTGGGCTTGGTGTGGTCACTCAGGGCGTGGCCAGAGGGGTGTGGTCAATTTGGGTGGCTTTTATTGAGCCCTGAGTGCTCCTGGTCACTCTTGAGCCGCTCCGGCCACTGACCCCTGACCCCGGCTCTGAGCAGGCCTGGGCGTGGCTCACCATGGCCGTGGTCACTCAGGGCTGTGGTCACTCAGGGCTGTGGTCACTTATGGCTGTGGTCACTCAGGGCTGTGGTCACTCAGAGCTGTGGTCACTCAGAGCTGTGGTCACTCATGGCTGTGGTCACTCAGAGCTGTGGTCACTCAGGGCCATGGTCACTCAGAGCTGTGGTCACTCAGAGCTGTGGTCACTCAGAGCTGTGGTCACTCAGGGCCGTGGTCACTCAGAGCTGTGGTCACTCAGAGCCGTGGTCACTCAGGGCTGTGGTCACTCAGGGCTGTGGTCACTCAGGGCTGTGGTCACTCATGGCTGTGGTCACTCAGGGCTGTGGTCACTCAGAGCTGTGGTCACTCAGAGCTGTGGTCACTCAGAGCCGTGGTCACTCAGGGTCATGGTCACTCATGGCTGTGGTCACTCAGAGCTGTGGTCACTCATGACTGTGGTCACTCAGGGTCATGGTCACTCAGAGCTGTGGTCACTCATGGCTGTGGTCACTCAGAGCTGTGGTCACTCATGACTGTGGTCACTCATGGCCGTGGTCACTCAGGGCCGTGGTCACTCATGGCTGTGGTCACTCAGAGCTGTGGTCACTCATGACTGTGGTCACTCAGAGCTGTGGTCACTAATTTCTCACTGACCACTGACCCCTGGCCGTGAGTGACCATCACAAAGCCCTGTGGTCACTCAGGGCCCTCCGGCCACTGACCCCTGACCATGAGTGACCACCCCTGCCCGCTGTGGTCACTCAGCTCTCACCACTGACCATGAGTGACCACCCCTGCCCCCTGTGGTCACTCAGCTCTCACTGACCCCTGACCGTGAGTGACCACCCCTGCCCGCTGTGGTCACTCAGCTCTCACCACTGACCGTGAGTGACCACCCCTGCCCGCTGTGGTCACTCGGGGCCCTCCGGCCGCTGACCCCTGACCGTGAGTGACCACCCCTGCCCGCTGTGGTCACTCGGGGCCCTCCGGCCGCTGCCCGCAGGTGGTGGACATCATGCGGGTGAACGTGGACAAGGTGCTGGAGCGGGACCAGAAGCTGTCCGAGCTGGACGATCGGGCGGACGCGCTCCAGGCCGGAGCCTCCCAGTTCGAGACCAGCGCGGCCAAGCTCAAGCGCAAGTACTGGTGGAAGAACCTCAAGGTACAAACGGACCCAAAATGCCCTGAAATGGCCCCAAAATGGGCTGGAATTGCCCCAAAATGGGCTGGAATTGTCCCAAAATGGGCTGGAATTGCCCCAAAATGGGCTGGAATCACCCCAAAATAGCCCAGAATGGCCCCAAATTGGGCTGGAATGGCCCCAAAATGGGC